GGAACAAGATAGTATAGCTGACACACTTAGGCAGGTAGAAGGCAAGCAGAAGGAGAGATTTAGCAAGCTCCATGGATAGAAATCAAAGGAAAAAGCAAAAATCTGGCCAAGCCTTTAGCTATCTTAAAAGGGAATCAGGAATTGAAGAACAACAGGCATTACAATTTTACTATTATTCAATTATACTAGATTACAATAACAATTCTATTATCTATATAAAATCATTCATTAACAGCAATCTACTCAAGCTATAATGCATGCCACCAGGTTGTAATATAGTTAAGAGCCTAATCATCCCAATAGCTAACACAGTATCTGACAAAGTATAAACATTCAGTAATAGCTTCTTGCAGAAATGAATGGATTATTTATATGTTATTCTTTAATTCTCTTCTCCCCAGTGTGATCAGAATACAACTGCATAATAAAAAGGGGATCATGGTGAAAACATTAACTAATTTGATTGAATCTTTCTATAATGTGTACATAATCAAAACATCACACTGTATACCATAAATACAATTATTATTTGTCAATTAAAAATTTTTTAAAGGATATTGTGTGCTTATCTTTAGAAGCAGCTAGGAAAGGGATGCAAAGGAGACTAATGTGGCTGTTCTGCAGCCAGAATTATGGAGAATTCAACCAGAAAGCACAAGAATGAGTAGTAATAGGTTCCATTAGAAGTGAAGAGCCAGCAAGGAAGGTGAGAAAAATGACCTTGGGTCTCAAAAATAGAAATGTGATTTTTTAGATGCTAATTACATTTAACAAAACTGAAATATTCAGTCTTTTTTAGTCAATGAGAAGATCCACAGAAGTAAGTTTGTTTGATGTAGATGCTGAAAAAATTTATTTCTAGCCCTAAGTGAGTGATGTCCATACTGCTTCATTAAAAAATCTCCTTGAAGATTTCTGTCACATTTATGCTCAGTAACCATAGTCCTGGGAATAAGTAATGAAAGTAAATAGTAGAACTGTGACAATGGGAAAGAAAAAGGAAAATAGTTATGAAACTTAAAGGGATTTTTTTTATCTCAACTACATGTAATGTGATAAAATAAAAAGAAGACATGACATTGGGGTTTCAAATGAAGAAAGGATATGCTTATAGATATTTAGGTTATTGAACTGGGTGTGGTAGCTCATGCCTGTAATCCCAGTGGCTCAGGAGGCTGAGGCAAGAGGATCACAAGTTTAAAGCCAGCCTCAGCAAAAGCAAGGCACTAAGCAACTCAATGAGACCCTGTCTCTAAATAAAATTCAAAATAGGGCTGGGGATATGGCTCAGGGGTCAAGTGCCTCTGAGTTCAATCCCTGGAATCCCCACCCCCGACAATATTGATAGTAATAGCTTTTAATGAACTCAAGGTGCTTAAGGAATTCAGTTTACTGGCTTTCTGTTAACTTTTACTTGAAAAATGTATTTTTATATTTCTTAAGTGGCTTTATACTTAAGACCTAAAAGTTATTCAATACCTCATATTTTTAAAGTGCTTTTATGAAGGAATAATTAACTATCCACTCTGTTATTTTATCTGTTTAACAACCTCAAGAACTAGATAAGTGTTATAAACTCTTTTTTGCAACTAACAAAGAAACTTGGAGACTGCCATGGTTTGAATATTGATAGAGTCCATCTAAAGTCTAATGTATTAAAGGCTTGGTTCCCAGGGTGGCAGTATTGGGAGGTACAGTGAATCAATAGTTGGTTGGACTTAGTGGGAGATCATTGGGGTGTGCTCTCAAAAATTGTGGGACCCCAGTCTCACTGCTTCCTGGTTTATGATGCAAATGATTTGCTCCACCATCTGCTTTCCACCGTCTGGTGTCCTCAGAAGAGGCCCAAAGCCATGATCCTGCCTAATTTTGGACTGGAACCTCAAGAACTGTGAACTAAATAAACCCTTTCTAAGTTAATTATATCATGTATTTCATTATAGTAATACAAAGCTGATAAACACCAGCACAGAAAGGTCAAGTAACTCGAGTTCAAAAATTCTTTTGAGGAAGAGGCCAGGCTAGGATGCAGATAGTTAATTTCTTTCTCCCAAGACTGGAGGTCATATGGGCCTCATGGAACCCAGATAGATGTCTCACAGGGAACACCTGGATGATTCCTTCCCCCCAAATTTCAGGTTATTATCTTTAGAAACTTGGAGGTCCTGAGACATGGATGAATGGTGGCAAACATGAGAACAATGCAGCTGGGTATTCTCTCTAATCTCCACAAGCCATAATCCCATGCACAGAGAAAGTAGCAAACATTGAATAAAAAAACTGTTAACCAATTAAGCCTTTAGTATGGACTAATGATAACAGAACAGGAGACAGAAAAAAGAGAGGTGGAAATATCAAGGAGAAAGAGTATTGACAGGTCCAGATGTCAGCAAGATGGCAGGATAGGGCTTTCCAGTGCTCATCCCCCAAAGTAATTATTAATTTTTTAAAATATTTTTTAGTTGTAGACAGACACAATACTCTTATTTATTTATTTTATATGGTGCTGAGGATCGAACCCAGGGCCTCACACATGCAAGGCAAGCGCTCTGCCACTGAGCCACAGCCCCAGCCCACATAATAATTATTAATTTGAACAACCATCTATGCACAAAATTACCTTTACAATAACTAAGAAAACCAGGTGAGAGATTATAGCTTAGAGCACTGAGAATAGCATATAAATAATAAAATATGAATTAAAGTAGGTATAAAGAACAGTTTTATATTATCTATATCATCCCTCTCCAAACCTCAGGAGGTATTCTCTGGGTTAGGGAAGAAGAAGGAAACGAGCACTGGACTTTTCTTTGAACTTGATTACCAGGCCTGTTCCAATAATACAAGGCATTGAGCAGGCTCCTAAGGATTCAGACTCTAGGTTGTTATCTCCACACAAAGCCTCCAAGATCTCGGTGCCAGGGGATTCTGAAGCTCAAGCTTTACTTGTGCCTGGTGGATTTGATCTACAAGGTTGCACCTATATCAAGCCAATCTCACAGACCCAGGTTCCAGGCCTGCCTCATTTCAGAATCTCCTAGAGCTAGGTCTACCTATATTGCTTAAGGCTTCTGGCTCATCTTAGTGCCAGGACAACACACCTGGCTTTTAGGTACCACACTAGCACCCACAGATACAAGTTCCAGAGCTGCCCACAGTCTCTGTGGCACAACTCTCCATACTGGCCCGTGCAGACCCATGGTCTAGGTCCATTCTAGTAGACTCTAGTGACAGACCAGACCCCACAGTCACAGGCTTCAGAATTACCCATATGAATTATGTTCTAGGTAGGCATCCATGGCTCCAGGACTTTGGAGCAGCCTTTATAGGCCTACCCTCTAGACCTCTACCCATGTACTCAGCCCCTAGGTGAACTCCAGCAGACCCAGGCTTTTGGCAAGTCCCAAAAGACTCAGAATCTAGGATGACATCTATGATTCCAGGCTCCACTGCCCCAATACCAGGCCAGCCTCAGGCCCCAGGTACTAGTTGACCTATGGAATGGGCTTCCTTCAATAGACCCAGGATTCAGTATCACCCTAGCAGAATCAGGTTACAGGCCAATCTCTATGGACCTATATCTCAGGACCATCCCTACAGACTTAGGCTCCAGACCCATGTAAGTATCAGGCTAGCCACCATGAATTCAAGCTCCAAGTCCATCCAGTGGACCTAAGCAGCAGACCCATCTCAACACCTGGCTAGTCCCTGCAGACTTAAGTTCAATTTTAGTCTTTGTAGATAGGCTTTGTCTGGACAGGCTAACTTCTAAATGGCTTTCCAAGACCATACTTCTTCAAACACACAGATCATGTCAAGTATCTTTTCTGATAACCATAAGTATGAAACTTAGATTCAAAACCAGGAGGAATTTTAAACAGTTGACAAATACACAGAAATTAAACAATATACTCCTAAACAATCAATGGGTTAAAGAAGGAATTAAAAGTAAAATAAAAAATAATATCTTGAAACAAATGAAAATGGGCATACCACATGCCAAAAATTATGGAATGCAAGCAAAAGGACTCCTAAAAAGGAAGTTCACAGCAATATACTCCTACATCAAAAAAGAAGAAGGCTCAAGCTGGGCATGGTGATACACACATGTAATACCAGCTATATGAGGCTGAAGAAGGAGAATCAGAAGTTTGAGTTCAGCCTGGGCAACTTAACAAGACCCTGTTTCAACTATTTTTTTTTTATTTACAAAGGAATGGGAATGTAGATCATTGATAGAATGTTTGCCTAGCATGAGCAAGGCCCTGGGATCAATTCTTTGTCAAAAGAAAGAAAGAAAGAGAGAGAGAGGGAAAGAGAGAGGGGGGGGAGGGAGGGAGGGAGGAAGGAAGGAAGGAAGGAAGAAAACCAGTCAGCCAGCCAGCCCCAGAGCCACAAAAGGTGTGGAAGGCAAAGTGTACTTCAGTGTAAAAGTACTTGCCTTGCACATGCAAGGCCCTGGTTCAATACTCAGCACTGAAAAATAAACAAATATCTCAAATAAACAATATAACATTACACCTCAAGGAACTAGAAAAAGAAGGACAAATGAAAGTCAAGTTATTAGAAGGAAAGAAAGAATAAAAACCAGTGCAGAAACAAATAAAATATATACTAGGAATACAATAGGAAAATCAATGAATCTGAGTCTTGGTTTTTTGAAAAAACAAAATGCACGGATCTTTATCCAAATTAATAAGAGATAAAGCTCAAATAAATTCAGAAATTAAAGAGTACATATTAAAATGATAAGGTTGAGTATCCCTTTTTCGAAATGCTTGGGAACAGAAGTGCTTTCAATTTTGGATATTTTCAGATTTTGAAGAATTCATTATATATATATATATATATATATATATATATATATATATATATATATATATATATATAATCAGATATCATGGGAATGGGATCCAGCTAAATATGAAATCCATCTATGTTTCATAAAATACCTAATACATATCAATGGAAGGTAATTTTATACACTATTTTTAGGGCACCTGTGTTTTGACTGCAACCCATCACGTGAGATCAGGTGTGGAATTTTCCACTTGTGGCGTCATGTTGGCACTCAAAAAGTTTCGGATTTTGGAGCATTTCGGGTTTCAGATTTTCAGATTAGGGATGCTCAACCTGTACAACAACAACAAAAAAAGATCATAAGACACCTAAGAACAGTTATGTGACAATATATTGGAAACCCTAGAAGAATCAGATAAAGTTCCAGACACAAACAACCTAACAAGACTAAATCAATAAGAAATAGAAAATGTGAACTAATAGTTCACCACTCAATTCCACCAAATGCTTGATTAAAAAATAACATAAGTCTTCTCAAACTCTTCCTAAAAATTGAAGGTGTAGAAATACTTCCAACTTCATTTTACAAGTCCAGCATTACTCTGAACAAAGTCAGACAAGGACACAAAGTCAAACAGGCCAATATTCCTGATGCACACAGATGCAAAAGACCTCAACAAAATACTAGCAAACAGAACTCAACAACACATGAAACAGATCATTCACAATGATAAAGTGGGATTAATCTCAAGGATACAGAGATGGCTGAACATATACAAATCTATAAATGTGATACACACCATATAACCAGAATAAAAGATAAAAACATAAGATTAACTCATTAGATGCAGAAAGACATTTGACAAAATTCAATATCCACTCACAATTAAAACACTCAAAAATTAGGTATAAAAAGACTGTATATGAGCAAAATAATGGTCATATATGGTAAACCTACAACTAATATCATACTCCATAGTGAAAAATTGAAAGCTTTCCCTTTGAGATAATAACAACAGGATGCCCACTCTACCCACTTCTATGAATGGTGGGTAGAAAGTACCAGTGACTAAGAGGCAAGAGAAAGAAATAGAAGATATGTAAAATGGAAAGTATTTAAATTGTTCCTGTTTGCAGAAATATAATTGTGTATATGTGTATGCATGTGTTTATGAATGATGTGAACCCAAATATTTCAGAAAAAAATCTATTTGAACTAATAAGCAAATTCAATAAATTTGCAGTATACAAAATCAACATACAAGAAATCAGGAATGTTTCTATATGAACTCTTTGAAAAAGAAATCTGAAAAACAATCCTAATATTTACAACTACAAAAATTAAAATACTTGCAATTAATTTAACTAGGGTGTTGAAAGACTTTTACATGCAAAACTATGAAACATTGATGAAAGGAATTGAAAAAGACACAAAAAAACAGAATATGTTGTGTTCATTTATTTGAAGAATTTATATTGTTAAAATGTCCATAGTACCCAAAGCAATCTACAAATGCAATGCTATCCATATCAAACTTCTAATGACATTTTTCATAGAAATAGAAAATATGCTAAAATTCATATGGAAGCACAAAAGGCTCCAAATACTCAAAGCAGTCTGGAACATATGGAACAAAGATAAAGCATTAGACCACCTGAGTTCACAATATACTGTAAAGAAAAGAAAATACTGCAAAGGCATAATAACCAAAATAATATGTTATTGGCATAAAAACAGACACATCGACCAATGGAACATAATAGAGTCCAGAAACAAATCCACGTATTTATAATAATTGATTTACAATAGAGGTTCCAAGAATACAGAATGGGAAAAGCAATAAATAATGTGGGGAAACCTAGATATCCACATGTTAAAGTATACTCTTATCTTACACCACATACAAATATAAACTTATATGGATTAAAGACTTAAGTGGAAGACTGAAAACTCTAAACCTACTAAAAGATAACATGGGAGGAGATCCATGATATTGGTCTAGGCAGTGGTTTGTTGGATATGATAACAAAGACATATGGAGCAAATGGAAAAATAGACAATTGGGATTACATCAAACTAAAAAGCTTAAATACAGTAAAGGAAATAATCAATAGAGTAAAGAGAAAACCTATGGAATGGGAGAAAATATTTACAAAGTCAAACATTTGATGAGAGGTTGGTTTCCAAAACATATAAAGAACTCAACTCAATAGTAATAAGGCAATTCAAATAAAAATGGGTAGGAAGAAGATGGTGTATCAGAGGAAGGGTGTACTCTCTACCAGCTTGTCAATTCAATATTCAATCAATAGGAGTACTGCTGCTCAGCAAAATGAGTGACAGAGGGAATTCAGTTAAATTCAACATTGGACAGTAAAATAATCAAAGAGACAAAGAAATTCAGAATCTTTGAACATAAAATTTAAAAAAATAAGTTAGTGAAGTTCCAGCTTGGTTGGTGGGAGTGGTACCAGCAATGCCAGCCCACTGCAGAGGTGAGGGGGTATCACAGACAGAAAAAATCATGGTTAATTGAATTGCCTTGGGGGAACTTGTGGAATAGAGTGGGAGGCTGATATTAATTTTAAACCAGGGACAGTGGGGCAAGTTGATGATTGAAAAAGTGATCAGAATCACTCAGCCAATAAGCAGAGTCATGGACACACAACAGTGAGCAGAGGTGGAAGATTGGGATTTCATAAAAGGCAATGTCGGCCAGACCCAGAAGTCACCTGTTATGGGTTCCAAAGCGTGCTGGGACCAGCATGACTGAAATAGGTGCAGAGAGGATTGTGCCTAGGGTGATCCAGGCTGGGGATATTGAGGGGAAAGAGGACCCTTTGTTGCTCTCAGCCCACCACACAAGCAGCTAGGAAGAAGTCAGAAACCAATAAGACAGGGGGGCCTGCATTCTAGATCTTACCTTGTTGATAGCTATTCATTGTTGATACTGACGTTAAACGCTGACATCACCATTGCTCTTTCAGTGGCAATGTCATAGTAGGCATTGAATATTTATTTTAAAGCCGTACAATGATTGCTACCATTATTGCTATTTCTTGCTCCCTCCCTTTATCTAAGAGGGGCTGGAAAACGATGGCAACACTATGCATTCACAGGATAGAGATCTGGCTACTGAGCTACACTCACAATTCAGCCAAGTAACATGACTCCACACAAGAACCTAAGCCCCACCTAAGCTCCAATAATACTTCAATACATAAAACAGGAGGGATGAAAACTCTAAATCAACAAACAGGCTTCATGGAAGGACAGCTAGAGGTGGGCCTCAGGTCACACTCCTGGACATCTACTCATACAACAAAAACAGAAAGAAGTCCCTAGAACAAAATGATACCTACACACCAAAGGATACATGCATAAGAGGAAGAGGAATCCATCTCAACAGATGCACAAGCCCAAGACCTCTGAAAATACAAGAAGACAAGCAAATAAGTCTTCCCCCCAAATTTACAATTCCCCATCAAAAGAACCCAGAGATAGAGAAGTGAATGAAATGTCAGATAAAGACTATAAAAAACTGAATATTAAAGTAATCAAAGGAACAAATTAAGAGAGCAAATAGAGGAGGTGAAAGACATTTCAAAAAAGAAATATAGGTAACATAAAGAAATCAATCACAACTCCAGAAAATGAAAGACAAGATGAACCAAATTTAAAATATTCACTTGAAAATATCACCAAAAGATTAGACTGTGGAAAAATGAATTTTAAACCTAAAGTCAGAATTTCAGGCCTTGAAGACAGGGTATATGAACTTGAGTACTCAGTATGCAATAAAGGAAAAAAAATAAAAACCATGACCAAAATATACAAAAATTCTGGGACAACATCAACAGAAGAAGTATGTGAGTTACTAGATAGAAGAGAACATGAAGATAAAGGCTAAGGATATTAAGAACATCTTCAGTGAAATACCAGCAGAAAATTATCCTAACCTTAGAAATTAGGTGGACATCCACACACAGGATACATGTAGAATCAAAAATGCCTAAGGAAAGAATATCAATAACTATAAGAGAAAAACATCAGGTCACATTTAGAGGTAAACCAATAAGGCTCATTTCTGACTGATTCCTAACTCAGACCCTAAAATCAAGGAGGGCCTGGAATCAGATATTCCAAGCTCTGAAAGAAAGAGATTGCTAGCCAACATCGCTGTATCCAAGAAAGCAAGCTTTTATAATTATAAAGTACATGCATGAAGGCACGAATTGGGTGTCAACCTACTTTATATACAAACAGAGATATGAAAAACTGTGGTATATATGTGTAATAAGAATTATAATGCATTCTGCTGTCATGTATTTAAAAAATAAAATCAATTAAATAAAAAAAAGAAACTTATAAGTCAGGAATACTTCCAGGGTGAAGGTGAGAGGTCCCCGGGGATATGATCTCTGCTAAGCATACACCTGCTCAATGATCCCACACAATATTTTCCAAACTGTGACTGAGGATTGAATATCAACTCTTTAGGATGAAAATGATGATTATACTTAGAATCAAGGATAAGTGACAATTGAAATTTATTTTTATAAGTAAGCAATAAAAAATTTTGTAAAAAAAAGAATAAATTAAAACTTTCCATGAAAAGGATAAACTAAAAAGATTCATGACCACTAAGTTAGCAATACAAAAAAAAAAAAACTAAGATAATACTATACACAGAACTCAAAAAACAAACCCCAAAGCTCCTAAATATATGGTTTCTAGAACAGCAACTAAATAAGTGAAAATTAAGACCAATTAAATATAGCAAACAAACCAACATGGCAAGAAATAACAACCATTTATCCATAATAACAGTGAATGTAAATGGTCTCAAGTTCCCAATTAAAAAGACACAAATTGGATAATGGATGAGAAAACAAGATCCAACTCTTGTGTTGTTTACAAGAGATTCATCTCATAGGTAAAAGTTTAAAAGGCTGGAAAAAATATTCCATACAAGTATATCATGAAAACCAGCAGGAGTAGCTATTCTCATATCTAATACATGGGTTTATGTGGTTTCTAAAATTTACTGCCAAGGTAGATTTCAAGCAAAAATTAATGAGAAGAGACAAATAAGGTCTCTACATGCTGGTAAAATGAGCAATGCCCAAATGTCAGTGGGAATTATTACATTAAAAAATACTTCTTGGGGCTGGGAATGTGGCTCAGCGGTAGAGCGCTTGCCTAGCATGTGCGGGGCCCTGGGTTCAATCCTCAGCACCACATAAAAATAAATGAATGGAATAAAGGTATTGTGTCCAACTACAATTAAAAAAATAAATATTTTTAAAAAATACTTCTTGACATTTAATCT